AGAGAGGAGTCTATCGGCTGCTTGTTTTCATAGCATGCTTAAGCCATATAGTTGGTGTGCTTCTGCACGGTACAGTTTAGGCACGAGCACAAGCACGCGGGCACACAACGCTGACAGCCTCCATTCAGGAGAAATCCAGGAGAGAAAGATATTCCAATCTGTAAAGTGCATTGCAGTTTGCAGTCCATCTATATTAAAAGGAAATAAACTTCAGAAAAGGTAAAGGGTAATAATGGATTTGAAGTGTCTAAAAATGTAAATTCTGTTTTTGTTTTGGATTTTGAAAATTTCAAAAAAATCAGAGAATGGAAAAAGACCAAGTACTTTGAGTTTCTGTTGTACTTTCATCACACTGATTTACTCAAGTCTGCAGTCATCAATTTTTTAGCCATCTGATGCATATTTTTTTCCCCACTCCCGTCGCGGAGGCCCTTGCGTGCTCAGGGCCCCTGGGCACGTGCCCGGATGGTAGATCCAGGGTTGTGACTTTTAATTGCAATGTGAACATTAGGGCTGTTGAAATGAATCATTTAATGGATGCATCGCGATGCAGACTAGACGATTGATGCATCGATGCAGGACAGGAAGTAATCGATTATGACGAGGGTTAGAAAAAGCATCTGTTAACCTCACATGTGTTTGTTTTGAGCAGCGTTGAGTGAGTTTGTTTTACCTAAACACACACACGGTGGTGTGTAATGAAAGTAACGTAGGCTAACAGAGGGATTTGTGACAGAAAACAACATCAATTGAGTCCCGGTCCTGTCTTGCTGACTTTATGAGCAGAGTCAGCTGGCTGCAGGCTCAGACCACAGTGCTCCGCTGCAGGCTGAAACGGCTTGACTCGGTGTCTCTTTAGCCACCGCAGCTCGGGTTAGCATCTTCATCACAGTAAAGGTGTGTTTAAACTGATGCCTCGCTGTCTTAAGTCCAGGATAACTAAAGAAGGGGGCTGTGGCGGTGACTCGGGATAAAGTGAGCGGCTGTAAACACAGTAGACTCCCGACAGTATCACCGCTAAGTGCACCTCCGCTAAAGCTGCGTTCCTTTGATGATACACAAGTTCGACAAGTTCTTCACAATAAAAGTCCCCTTCCTATCTGTAGTTGAAGTGCTTTTAATGTGAAACATTCATATCAGGAAATGGGGTGTTTACAGCAGTAGCAACTTAACACAACTCGTCTGAAATAACCCTGAACAAAGCTCACAGCTAAAGGCTACAACGTCCTGAGAAGGAACACACAGAGACTTAAAACATCTTTCTCTCTTATAATAAACTAAACACACAGAGACTTAAAAACATCTTTCTCTCTCTTATATAACTAAACACACAGAGACTTAAAAACATCTTTCTCTCTTATAATAAACTAAACACACAGAGACTTAAAAACATCTTTCTCTCTTATAATAAACTAAACACACACAGACTTAAAAACATCTTTCTCTCTTATATAAACTAAACACACAGAGACTTAAAAACATCTTTCTCTCTTATAATAAACTAAACACACAGAGACTTAAAAACATCTTCTCTCTCTATTATAAACTAAACACACAGAGACTTAAAAACATCTTTCTCTCTTATATAAACTAAACACACAGAGACTTAAAAACATCTTTCTCTCTTATTATAAACTAAACACACAGAGACTTAAAAACATCTTTCTCTCTTATATAAACTAAACACACAGAGACTTAAAAACATCTTTCTCTCTTATAATAAACTAAACACACAGAGACTTAAAAACATCTTTCTCTCTTATATAAACTAAACACACAGAGACTTAAAAACATCTTTCTCTCTTATATAACTAAACACACAGAGACTTAAAAACATCTTTCTCTCTTATAATAAACTAAACACACAGAGACTTAAAAACATCTTTCTCTGGACTGTTTGTCTCTGTTTATGAAAAAGTAGCCATGTGCAGTAATATAGAAAATTGAGGATGAATCGTGATGCATCGTGATATCGAATCGAATCGTAAGACCAGTGAAGATGCACAGCTTTACTGAACATGCATCCAAGAAACTCAATAAAAATAATTTTGAAAGAAAGAGGCCGGAGATGAAATCAAGAGAATTATCTCTGCTTAATAAAATGTGCTCTCTAGAAGTTTATCTGATAGTGCTGTAGCTAGATTTAAGGAAGCTATTTCAGCTGCTTTTGATTCAGTACCGTGTTTCAACCCAGTTGGAAACTCTTATGATAGCTTTAGTCCCTCTCAGCTAGATCAGTTTGTTGATAGTGCAGTGGATTCCTGAGAGTTACTCTGGATTCGATTGCTCCCCTAAAACAGAAGGTTATCAAACGCAGAGAATAGCTCCATGGTTCAACTCAGAAACCTGTACTCTAAAACAAACATCGTGAAATTTTGAAAGAATATGGCGCTCGACCAAAACGGTAGAATCCCGTTTATTCTGGCAGGATAGTCATAGAAATATATGAAGGCTCTACGTCACGCTCGAGCTGCCTACTACTCCTCTCTAATCGAGGAAAACAAAGGCAATCCTAGATACCTTTTCAGCACTGTAGCCAGGCTGACAGAGAGTCATGGCTCCATTGAGCCTTGTATTCCTTTAGCCCTCAGCAGTAATGATTCCTGAGCTTTTTCAACAACAAAATTCTAGACATCAGAGACAAATTAGTAACCTCCTGCCCTTACCTGGTGCAGATACGTCTGATACGGCAGAGACAGTTCCAGGACCAGATATTAGTCTAGACTGTTTTTCTCCAATCGACCTTTCAGAGCTAAATTCAATTATTTCTACGTCAAAACCATCAACCTGTCTTTTAGACCCAATCCCAACCAAGCTGTTTAAGGAAGTCTTTCCCTTAGTTAGCAACTCTATATTAGATATGATCAATATGTCTTTACTGGCAGGCTATGTACCACAGGCATTTAAAGTAGCGGTAATCAAACCTCTACTTAAAAAGCCTACTCTAGATTCAGGAACTCTAGCTCACTACAGGCCTATATCCAACCTTCCTTTTATCTCAAAGATCCTGGAGAAGGTGGTAGCTAAAGCTGTGTGAACAGTTTTATTTGAGGAGTTTCAGTCAGGATTTAGAGTCCACCATAGCACTGAGACTGCACTAGTTAGAGTTACAAATGATCTACTTCTAGCTTCAGACAGGGGACTTCTCTCTGTGCTCGTCTTGTTAGATCTTAGTGCTGCTTTTGACACCATTGACCATCAGATCCTATTATACAGACTAGAACATTTACTTGGAATTACAGGGACTGCTTTAAGTTGGTTTGAATCCTACTTATCAGACCGATCTCAGTTTGTACATGTTAATGATGAGTCCTCTATACACACTAAAGTTAGCCATGGAGTCCCACAAGGTTCAGTGCTTGGACCAATTCTCTTTACATTATATATGCTTCCTCTGGGAAATATTATGAGGAAACACTCCATACAGTTTCATTGTTATGCAGATGATACTCAGCTTTATGTATCAATGAAGCCCGATGGCACCAGTCAGTTATGTCAGCTAGAAACGTGCCTTAAGGACGTTAGGACCTGGATGACCAGACATTTTTGCTACTTAACTCAGACAAGACTGAAGTTATTGTGCTAGGCCCTAAGAACTCAGAGAGACTTTTTCTAGTGATTTGACTGTCCTTAGTGACATCAGCCTGGCATCTAGCACCACTGTTAGGAATCTAGGAGTTCTTTTGATCAAGATATGTCTTTTAGCTCTCACATCAGTCAAGTTTCAAGAACAGCCTATTTTCACCTTCGTAATATATCCAAGATCAGGAATATCCAAAATGATGCATGAAGAAAACTAGTTCATGCATTTGTTACCTCCAGATTGGATTATTGTAATTCTCTTTTGTCAGGGTGCTCTGGTAAGTCTCTAAAGACTCTTCAACTGGTCCAGAAATAGTGATGTGTCGGTCCTGAACGATTCGTTCAAAATGAACGAATCATCTGGGTGAACGAACTGAACTGAATCACTTACTAAAAAGAGTGTTCATTTCTCAACTTCAGTTGCCTCTCCTCTCTTCCGTCTCGTGTCTCAAAGCTCCCGTTCACAGTACGTTCACTGAACGAATGACTAACGAGAGTTCCGACGTGAATCACGCTCGACGTGAATCACGCTCCGACGTGAATCACTGAACGAACTGACGAGAGTTCCGACGTGAATCATGCTCCGACGTGAATCACTGAACGAACTGATCGAGAGCTCCGACGTGAATCACTGACACAACTGAACGAGAGCTCTGACGTGAATCACTGAACGAACTGAACGAGCGCTCCGACGTGAATCACGCTCCGACGTGAATCACACTCAGACGTGAATCACTGAACGAACTAACGAGAGCTCGACGTGAATCACGCTCGACGTGAATCACGCTCCGACGTGAATCACTGAACGAACTGAACGAGAGCTCCGACGTGAATCACTGAACGAACTGAACGGAGTCCGACGTGAATCACTGAACGAACTGAACGAGAGCTCCGACGTGAATCACTGAACGAACTGAACGAGAGCTCCGACGTGAATCCTGAACGAACTGAACGAGCTCCGACGTGAATCACTGAACGAACTGAACGAGAGCTCCGACGTGAATCACTGAACGAACTGAACGAGAGCTCCGACGTGAATCACTGAACGAACTGAACGAGAGCTCCGACGTGAATCACTGAACGAACTGAACGAGAGTTCCGACGTGAATCACGCTCCGACGTGAATCACTGAACGAACTGAGAGGAAGAGCGGAGCTCTCGTTCAGTTCGTTCACTGAACGTACTGAGAGGGAGAGAGAGACTCAGAGCTCCCGTTCAGAATCAGTACACACAATCACTTTCACCACCCGTTTTTCATATTTTAGGTTTCACTACGCAAATAAAAGATGTACGCAAATAAATATTAGGTTATTAATTATTTTTAATTAGATAAAATGAAAACAATAAAAAATAAAAGTGAGAAACATAAATTACAGTGCAATTAAAAAAAACTCAAAAGATAAAAAACAATAGGCTATCAAAAAGAAAATACAAAAAAGTAAATATAGACTAAAACTACAGTGCAAAAACAAATATTAAATAGACAAGGTAGAAACTATTTACAATGGTCTACATTTTAAAAATGTCACAAACAAAATATTAACTTAAATGTGCAATCACAAACAAAATAAACTGTAGTGCAAAACAAAGTCAAGAGACAACAAAAAAAATCACCAGCATGCCAGGTGAGCAATATTGTTGCAAACAATGGGAATATCAGTGAAAATTAAGATTCATTGATTTTCTTCTAATAATCTTCAATTAAGATTACATGTGCAGGTTTGCATTGATGAATACCAGCTGACGGACCTTTGAAGAGCTGAGCCGGCTCCTTCTCTCTGAAACTATCTGCCCCGTTTTACTGAACACTCTCTCAGACGGGACAGATGTGGCCACAATGCAGAGTCTCCTCTTCATGAATTCACAGAGTCTGGGATATACCACCCTTCTACTTTGCCACCAAGTGAGGGGGTTTGAGGACCTGGGCACTAGAGGCTCCTCTATAAATCCACGGACCTCTAGCACAGAATCTGCAGTTGGATTGCGACTGCTTGTCACAAGCCCAAAGACCTGCTCATCAAACTCTTTCCAGACTGCACTCTCCTCTACTCTTGTGCTTCTGCTCCCTCTTCTTCTCCCTCAGCCTGCTGGTTGGGGAATGTCATCCTTGCTGCAGAATTGCAGAGGCGATGAAACACATTGTCAGCTGCCTCATCCTGCCGAAAGGCCTTCTTCTTGAACCTCGGGTCAAGTGCTGCTGCCTCAGAGAGCAAAACATGGGACTCTATTTTATGGAACCGGTGAGACATTTGGGAACAGATGTTGTCCACCAATTTCCTAACTGGTTCACTGAGGTTTCCAGCAGCTCGTTGGTGGCTTGATGCAATCTTTTGAAGACCTCTTGCCAAAAGGATGACTTTTGAAGCTGTCACATACCTGAGTGAAAGAGAAAGAAGGATTAGGCCTCTTAGTGATAATAATATGCATGTTGTTATTATTAATACCAGTATAACTATTAGTAGTAATCGTTGTAAAATGATCATATTCATAATCATTAGTTTGAAAAATAGCAATGAAAAGCTCTAGCTAGGAAGTAAGATAAAGCCTTTGAAGCTCCTCTGAAGTCAAGTTCCCGTGGTGATGACCTGGAGTAGCTTGATTGACAGGTTTATGACTTTGTTTTGTGACTGTGCAAGTGAAAATTAGGCCTTCAAAATCACAGTATTATCACGACAATGCAATAATATTGAAAAACACGTACCCTTCACCGCTTATTTCAACTGTGACCTCCTCAAAGGGCTTCAGAACATTGCAGGCCTGTTGCATCTCCTCCCACTCTTCTGGAGATAGGGTGGCCAGTCTAGGATTTGTTAAGGCCAGTGTTGTGATGACAGCCTCTCTGTTCTGCAGTATTCTCTCCAGCATGTAATATGTTAAGTTCCAACGAGTTGGGCAATCCTGTTTCAGACGCATTTCTGGCAACCCCAACTGGTTTTGTGTGGCCTTCAGTTTTTCAGAGGCAACTGTGCTCTTGTGCATGTATTCCACAATTGCCTTGACCTTATCTACTGTAGGTTTAATAGCAGCAATGCCACTATGTACAATGAGGTTCAGGGTGTGGGCATTGGGCAAAGCAGAATAGGTGGGGCCAACCTGTGTTCTGGATGGCCTTCACAACATTGGCAGCATTGTCAGAGACACAGGCAACAACTTTATGCACAATGTTCCACTCCCTTGCAACCCTCAAAAGTTGCTCTGCCAGATTGTCAGCTGTGTGCCTGTCGATCATTTCAAAACAATCTAGCAGGACGGACACATTTTTCAAGTCAGAAATGAAATGACATGTCACAGACATGAAGGAAGTTGTTGTCCTGGATGTCCAGCAGTCTGTGGTGAGACACACTGCTTCAGCTTTATCCACTCTTTCTTGAACTTTTTCATGTGTCCTCCTGTACAGCTCTGGGATAATTGAATTTGACAGTGTTTTGCGGCTTGGCAGAACATAGTTGGGGTTCAGTTCCTTTGTGTATTGCCGAAACCCCTTATCTTCAACAATGGAAAAAGGCTGCAAATCAAGTGCAATCATCTTTGCCAGCACCTCATCCATTGCCCTTTGCCTCATGGGGTCGATAGGCCTCGACACAAAGTGAGTGAGGGTGGCTTGTGCACGCCTTGCTCTGGGCCTATCTGTTGCCCCTTGTGTGGATACAGCAGTGCGAGTACTGGCTGGAGCAGTGCTGGTGCTGCTGCTGTCTTCTACTGTAGGAGCAGGCTGAGGCTCTTGTCTTACCTGTTCAAGCTGCACAGTTGGATGTTTTGACTTTAAATGTCTGTGGAGATTTACTGTTGACCCACCTTTGGTGGAGAGCTTTGCAAATCGTGCATGATGCGGCTGCTGGTGGAATAAATTCAAATAGTGTCCAGATAACGCTTCTCCTTCTTGACTCACTCATCTTGTTTATAGTGAATAAACAGTGAGTCAGTTACTCCTTTGATAATGGGGGAAGGGTGTTTGTTCATGAGGGTACATGGTCAGGGTGATCAGGGGAACATACCAAGTAACAGGGGAGGAGGGGAAGGGACCTTAGAGGGGGATGGTAGGGGGAAATTCAGTAGAGAGACCTTAAGTTTACAGTAAAAATGCATTTTTTAAGTGTGTATGTGTGTGGAGGGTCAAGTTAGGTCAACTGAGACATAGTTTTTTGCAGATTTTGACAACTGTCAATGTAAGTCTGTGTGTGTGTGTGTGTGTGTGTGTGTGTGTGTGTGTGTGTGTGTGTGTGCTTGTTCTGTGGGGTCACATCTCCCTAATAATGGTTGAGTCCAGGTGACAGATAGTTTCATAACAAAACAACAAAAACACTTTTTATATTGACAATATTTGTATACAATTTGCATGGCCATGCATTTACATCTACAGTTAAGACATTAAACAAAGCTGCCTAATATATAATCATAGTTTGTTTAAATAAAGCAGCCCTTGCCGACAAAGTAGCCTAAATTAGCCTATATTATTATTTTAAAAATCTGCTTATATAATTTAAAATATAACTGTTCTGGTACAGGATATATTCGTTGCCATGCATATTTTCTGCATGTAGCCTATATTAAGTTAAATTAATTGTCATTCATGATAATGTTTGCAAACTGAAAGCTTCATAACAACAAGCACATACATTTTCGCGACACCCAGCTTAATTGTTATTAATTAATGATCGTACAAATCATTGACTGACTGGTGAAAGTGATTGTGTGTACTGATTCTGAACGGGAGCTCTGAGTCTCTCTCTCCCTCTCAGTTCGTTCAGTGAACGAACTGAACGAGAGCTCCGCTCTTCCTCTCAGTTCGTTCAGTGATTCCCGTCGGCGCTCTCGTTCAGTTCGTTCAGTGATTCACGTCAGAGCTCTTGTTCAGTTCGTTCAGTGATTCACGTCGGCGCTCTCGTTCAGTTCGTTCAGTGATTCACGTCGGAGCTCTCGTTCAGTTCGTTCAGTGATTCACGTCGGAGCTCTCGTTCAGTTCGTTCAGTGATTCACGTCGGAGCTCTCGTTCAGTTCGTTCAGTGATTCACGTCGGAGCTCTCGTTCAGTTCGTTCAGTGATTCACGTCGGCGCTCTCGTTCAGTTCGTTCAGTGATTCACGTAAGAGCTCTCGTTCAGTTCGTTCAGTGATTCACGTCGGAGCTCTCGTTCAGTTCGTTCAGTGATTCACGTCAGAGCTCTCGTTCAGTTCGTTCAGTGATTCACGTCGGCGCTCTCGTTCAGTTCGTTCAGTGATTCACGTCGGAGCTCTCGTTCAGTTCGTTCAGTGATTCACGTCGGAGCTCTCGTTCAGTTCGTTCAGTGATTCACGTCGGAGCTCTCGTTCAGTTCGTTCAGTGATTCACGTCGGCGCTCTCGTTCAGTTCGTTCAGTGATTCACGTAAGAGCTCTCGTTCAGTTCGTTCAGTGATTCACGTCGGAGCTCTCGTTCAGTTCGTTCAGTGATTCACGTCGGAGCTCTCGTTCAGTTCGTTCAGTGATTCACGTCGGAGCTCTCGTTCAGTTCGTTCAGTGATTCACGTCGAAGCTCTCGTTCAGTTCGTTCAGTGATTCACGTCGGAGCTCTCGTTCAGTTCGTTCAGTGATTCACGTCGGCGCTCTCGTTCAGTTCGTTCAGTGATTCACGTAAGAGCTCTCGTTCAGTTCGTTCAGTGATTCACGTCGGAGCTCTCGTTCAGTTCGTTCAGTGATTCACGTCGGAGCTCTCGTTCAGTTCGTTCAGTGATTCACGTGGAGCTCTCGTTCAGTTCGTTCAGTGATTCACGTCGAAGCTCTCGTTCAGTTCGTTCAGTGATTCACGTCGGAGCTCTCGTTCAGTTCGTTCAGTGATTTACGTCAGAGCTCTCGTTCAGTTCGTTCAGTGATTCACGTCGGAGCTCTCGTTCAGTTCGTTCAGTGATTCACGTCGGCGCTCTCGTTCAGTTCGTTCAGTGATTCACGTCAGAGCTCTCGTTCAGTTCGTTCAGTGATTCACGTCGGCGCTCTCGTTCAGTTCGTTCAGTGATTCACGTCGGAGCTCTCGTTCAGTTCGTTCAGTGATTCACGTCAGAGCTCTCGTTCAGTGAACGAACTGAACGAGAGCTCCGCCTCCTCTCTCTCCCTCTCAGTCAGTCAGTCAGTGAGTGATTTGTGTACTGAACGTACTGAACAGGGGAAAATAAATGTGATTGTTTTAGCAGCTTTCAGTTTGCAAACTGTGGCTTTATCCAACTAAATTCTCAGCTCATTGGTTTATTATTCACCACCGGCTGTTCTCAGTACGATCGCGAGCAGAACTAAACGTTGGGCCGTGTTTCAGTTTATTGAATTCTGATTCACAGACAGAGCTGCAGAGAAGTACTGAACGATTCGGTGAACGAATCATTTGAACGAATCACTTTACTGAACTGATTCTACTGATTCAGTACACTGAAAAGAACTGCTTTTCACACCACTAGTCCAGAACGCTGCAGCTCGTGTACTGACTAGAACTAGGAAAAGGGACCACATCACTCCTGTCCTGGCTTCTCTGCACTGGCTCCCTATACAGTCTAGAATAGAATTCAAGATCCTTCTTCTCACCTACAAAGCTCGAAATGGCCAGGCACCATCTTATCTTAAGGAGCTACTAGTGCAGTACTGTCCCTCGAGAGCGTTGCGGTCCCGGAGTGCAGGCCTGCTGGTGGTACCTACAGTCTCTAAGTGTACTATGGGGGGTAAAGCCTTCAGTTATCGGGCTCCTCTCCTCTGGAATCGTCTTCCAGCCGGGGTCCAGGAGGCAGACACAGTCTGTATTTTTAAGAATAGACTTAAAACTTTCCTTTTTGATAAATCTTATGGTTAGTGCTGGTGTAGACCAGCTCTTAGTTATGCTGCTATAGGCTTAGACTACCGGGGGAACTGGCACCTTGTGCTCCTCTCTCTCTCTCTCTCTCTCTGTGCATATACAGTACATCATATTACTGCATGTATCTATCTGTAAATCTCAGTCACTAACCACCTACTTTCCTGAGAGCTCTTGAGCTCTCTTAGGCTCCTCAAGATTGTTGATGGACGGCCTGCCAGAACAACCCCCCCTCCACACCAGATTGTTGATGGACGGTCTGCCTTCCCCCCACCCCCTTGCTCCCTATCCCTCTTCCTGCATCTTATCCCATCTCTCCCCCTATCCCTTTCCAAGCCCAGCGCAGTCTAGACCTGTGAAGGCTGTTTTGTCATGAGCCGGGGATCCAGCCGAAGATTTCTGCCTTTTAATAAGGCAGTTTTTTTTTTACCACTGTAACTTTTGCTGCTTTGCTAAAGTGCTCATGATGGATAGACCAGGTCTTTGTAACATAACAAAGAGTAAGATCTTTTACCTGCTTTTTGTAACATAACAATGAGTAAGGTCTTTTACCTGCTTTTTGTAACATAACAATGAGTAAGGTCTTTTACCTGCTTTTTGTAACATAACAATGAGTAAGGTATTTTACCTGCTTTTTGTAACATAACAATGAGTAAGGTCTTTTACCTGCTTTTTGTAACATAACAATGAGTAAGGTCTTTTACCTGCTTTTTGTAACATAACAATGAGTAAGGTCTTTTACCTGCTTTTTGTAACATAACAATGAGTAAGGTCTTTTACCTGCTTTTTGTAACATAACAATGAGTAAGGTCTTTACCTGCTTTTTGTAACATAACAAAGAGTAAGGTCTTTTACCTGCTTTTTGTAACATAACAATGAGTAAGGTATTTTACCTGCTTTTTGTAAAGTGTCTTGAGATAACACTTGTTATGAGTTGACGCTATACAAATAAAATTGAATTGAATTGAATCTGAAATGATGCACACATTGAACAAGAGAAGGTCATTCAGTTATACTAACTTAATATCTACAAATGTTAATTGGATGCAGAAACATTTTGTTTGAAATCAATATAACAATAAGTGAAGACAATGTTCT